ATTTTTTTTTTGAAATTTTCAAATTTTGACCCGGCCGGGTTATGAAAACCATTTAATTAATTTTGCATGGCCTTACAGTTGTTTTCATAAAATTTGCAACAAACTAAAAATTTGTTCACTTCCCGAAACCTCTTTGGTTTCATCCTAAAGACACCTAACTCTTCAGAATCATATTATCGCCTTTGAAACTTTAGTCCGGAAATAACAATGTATTTTCCAAAGAGTTAGATAATCCATAGGATGAAACCGAAGAGATTTCGGAAAACGAGCAAATTTTTAATTTGTCCAAAATTTATAAGAATAGCTATATTTCCGAAAATCAAATAGTAATTTGAAATTTTTATTTAAACCCAATTACAAAAAGTTGCAGCAATGAGCTATATAAAAGATCAGAACTGGCTGATATAATAGTATACTAGTATAATGCAAATGAATCAGATTATTTCACAACTTAAAAATATTCAAATTATCGTGAATCACATATAAACTGGGTTGTTTTATTTATTTTCTAATTTTAATTTCTTATCTAGGTTAACCGATTAACAAAGTTTTTACCCGGATAAGAGTGCTTATACGGGTTATCTGTGTAATCCTTATCCAGGCCTAATTTCTAGATGTACTTATCTACTTCAGTTGCAGAAAGGATAGATGTATAGACGAAATTGGCTATAGCAGGTCGAACATAGGTGTTAATTGATAACCGGGTTAGTTAAAACTTGTAAGTTAGATGCTAAAGCTAGTGTTCTAGTTTGAGTAATCACATGAGGTGGAGCTGATTGTGGTAGGATCTAATAAAGTTTTGACATAACTGCCGAATTTTAAAAAAAAAATAAAAATAAAAAAATAAATTATATAAATTTCTTTTATATATAATTAAAAGTATATTGTTATATTACTATATTTTAGCATTGGTATAGTTATACAAATTACTATTTATAGCCTAGTTTAAATACCATGATTCAAATTTGTACTATTAGATTTATTAGTAGACTTTTTACAATTTTGTGATTAGAGTTATATTAGCATAATATTTGATATAGTACCTTAGCATAGTACCTTAGCATAGTACTTTAGCATAGTACCTTATCATAGTACTATAAATCATCTAATAAAAGACCTTCTCTTTACAGTAGACCTCTATATTATACCCGGGTCTATACTAGAGTTAGAATTTTGGTAGAATGTATAAGACCCGAGTCTTTTATATAAACTTATTTGTAATATACCTGGGTATATATTAGGTTTTTTTTTAAATTTTTCAACAACAAAACTAATTAAATAAGTATAATTTTTATATAACAATAAATTTATAATATATTCGTTTATTGAAGTTTTTTTCCAATATAGTAAACTAAATTTTTTAATATATAGATCAACAACTTTTTTTGATAAAATAAATAAAAATCTAAAAAAAAATATTTAAAATGAAAAAAAAATAAAAATAATAATAAGTATCAAGAATTATATTGATTTATTGCATAGTGTTATTCTATATCTATTTTAAATCGTTAATAGTATCTAAAATATTCAGTATTGACTTATGACTTGTTATGACTTATAAAATTTACTAATACATTATAACCACCTTGGTTATATAAAGTTTGATATAACCTAAATTTGCAGATAAACGTCTTACATTTAACCTTTTCAATTCTTATTAATAACAGTACCCAACTTGATTAATTCATTTTTTCGAATGCCTTATTTATTCTTTTTATTTCTTATTCCATGTTAATAGCATGATTCAAGATTATAAATCTCATCTTAGCAGATTCTTGATACATTAGTCCCAAATATTTGAATATTCAATTGATTCATTCTTATAATACACATCATTTTCTTTTTTCTCACTTTCTTGAATATTAGCTACCTCTTCACCACAATCAAATTCATCTAGTGTTGACTGAACCTTGTCCAAATGATATCTTGAGTTAGATCACAAACACTTACATCATCTTCATTATCACTGTCTGTATCTTGAGTTAAATCATGAACACTCTCACTATTATTTGATTCTTCTAAACTTTCAAATATATAATTATTACTTCAGCGTTAACTTTCTGAATTCTTTACCCATTTATAGTTAAAAACTTTACAATTTTCTGACCTATCTCTTGCAACAGAGATACCACAGCACTTAAATGATCACACAATAAGTGCAGAATTAACTTAATAACATGCCATTTTTATCCAATTAGCTACTGTACTGTATAAAGGATGTCGGATATGACTAGACTTAAAATTTCACTTGCTATCTATTTGTTGTAGAATTTGCGATACTAAAAATAGAGTTACAATCTATTAAATTTAACTTTTAATTTAAATTAATAAAGTAATCACAGGTCGAAAACTATTAAACCAGTATAATTACTGATTATAGAAAAATATAAAAATAAATACAAATAGGCATTCCTATTATAAACTGATAAAATACTGATTTGAGAATATTTAACAATATTATTTATTGCCTATTGCAGTCAGATAATAGCAGAAATTGGAATAAAATAGGCTTTAATAGGGACAAACTATTTGAATTAGTTTATTAATTCAAATTTCGATTGTTATATAGTAACTTAAATTAATAAATATATTACAATCGGTAAAATTACTAATTAAATAGTAGTAATTTTACTGATTGTAAATTCGATTATTACCAATAGTATATTAATTAATTAAACTATCAATTGCCGATTGTATTAAATTATACCAACAAGATAAATACAATTAAAAAATAAATTACAATCGGAATAAATACAATTAAAAAATAAATTACAATTGGGTTATATAAAGCCATATAAAATTTATTTTTTGTTTCTTATAACATAAAAAATGAAGCTAGAAAAAGGTACAATAAGAGCAAAGTGAAAGTATAAGTTTGAAAAAGTCAAACATAGAAGTAAAAAGCAAAGCGATAAAAAGATAAAAATAATGTAAAAAAAAAAAAAAAATAAAGTGAAGCCCAAAAGTTAGTAAAGCACAATACAAATATAAATATGGAACATATGTAAAAATAATGGTATAGTAGTCCGATTAACATCCAGTGACACGCTCCTGAGGATTATTTATTTATTTTCTATAACAGAGGTTACTGATGAACATAGTGCGTGGATGGCCCTTCAGGCCATCTATGTACTATGATCATCGATAACCTTTGTTATAATTTCTACCACCTCCTCCAGGAAATAAATAATACTTATTTTTTGGGATTTCCATTTTTTTGTTTTATGTAAACTTTTAATATGAGAGGTAAAAAATAATAACTCATTGATGTCAATATGATGATTCATGGCGAAGGTGCTTGAGCGATCTCTTTAAATATTCTATCGATTGTAAAATTTTCCAAGCAGATATAAAAAAAAAAGATGAGTTGTTTTAAAAGTTTATTGACTAAAATGAAAAACTTATTTGATATTTTTTACTAATAAAAAATGGGTTATTTATATGTAATAAACTTTATAAAGTTATACATATGTATTCATCAATTTAAATAAATAAAATTTTATTTTCCAACACTTTTTGACCTATTGATTGAGGTGAATGGCAGATTCTATATAAATTTATATGGATAGGAGTGTTCTAATGAAGATGGCTATGGGTCTGCTCATAGTGTCATCTTCTTATACTTGCTCCAACAATAAAGATATTGTTAGTATTCCATTGCGACTCTAAATTAGGTAGCTAACTTAGATCTACTTATCTGATTTCATGTGCGCTCTCCGTATTCCCGATCAGGATTCTGGCTTAACCAGATTGCCACCGACATATCTCTGCTTAGCCATCTTTTCAATTTGTTGACTTATGCAGTAAGTCAACTTAAATAAAATTGGTATAAAATTTCTTATATAGGCAGATCGTGCTAATTTTGTAATACCTAAATATGTTCACATTAAAATAAATGATATGATATATTAATTTTAACTTATTTAATAATATATATCTAAATTGATTAGTGTTGGATTAAATATCGATATATAATCACAATTAGGCTATTTTACTGCAACATGATCATATTTAGATATCACAAAATGAGCACAATCTGCCCATATGTCTGTTACAAAACTTAAATGACATACCTCTTCTAATCCTTATCTTTTAGCTATGTAACTCTTCACCATTTGTGAATGTGCAGTCTCCTTCTTTAGTAGCATAATTGGTTTGGGCCATCATTTGGTGAAGGATGTTTGTACTCAGGCCTGGCCTTAGGGGCTATAAAGTATTGGATTTGCTGGGCTATTAAGGAAATTAGATTTTAAATGCGCTTAGCCTGTTAATAATAATGAGCCTATTTTCTTTCTTTTTTTTTTTTTTTTTATCATATAGTAATAAAGTCTCTAATCAAGAAATAATAATATAAATATGGGCTTGGTGCTACAGAAAAGGGAGAAATCGACAAATTTTCAAAAATTTTATTTTTACACAACTCAATTTAGAATAACGCTAGAATCATTTTTCACTTAAAGCATAAAAGAAGTTGTATTAATAAAATTTTGTAGTATAGCCCTTTAAAGTTTGTATTTTC